GCCCGACACGTGGTCTGCGGCCATTTTTCTGCCCCGACACGTGGTCCGCGGCCATTTTTCCGCCCGACACGTGGTCTGCGGCCATTTTTCTGCCCCGACACGTGGTCCGCGGCCATTTTTCCGCCATGCGGTGCCCGGCCGTTTTTGCGCTGCGCGGCGCCCGGCCATTTTCGCACCGCACCGCGCTGCACCCGGCCATTTTCCCACCCCTGACGCGTGGTCCGAATTTCCTTCGGGTTACGACCAACTTGGGATACGCCCAGAGTCATGGAACGGATTAAGTTCGTATCCCGAGGTACCACTGTACTTCTAACCTTTAACTTTGAGTAAGCTTGCATCTATGTTAGATCTAAGTCTACATTCAGAGAATGAATTCAGGTTTGAATCACTTACTGGCATCCGTTCAGTTGCACCACCAATCTTAAAATTCATTGTAGATCTCACAGTCTGTGCACCATAATACTTGTCATTTGGAACACTGAGTTCACCAAAAGTATCATATTCAATTCTAAAAGATGGCTGACTAGCCTAAAAAAGGGAAAAGACAAATCCAAGTGTAAAAATGAAGCCACTTTCCCTGTAAACCAAAAACAAACAAAAAAACCCAAAGCCACTGTAAAGATACAGTACACATAAATATTCTTGTTTTCAAAACTGGCATGTATAAAAATGCATGTCCCAATAAAAAAACATTTCAACTACTGTGAATCAGTGAGGAGAAATAGAATGAAAAATAAGGCTGGTACTGCTGGCATCAAGCACTGTGTTTACATTTATAGAGATACCTCCCTTATGGCACAGCAATTTGTTTTTAAAACTGACTGTTGTAATTTAATTTGGTACTCTAAAAGGGAAAATAAACAGTTCTAAGAGAAGGATGATGCAAACTTCTTATCTATGCAATTTATTTTATTAGATGATGGATAGAAGAGTTCAATGTTAGTCACTTTTTTACTATTTTGATGGAAAATTTTTCTCGTTTTAAAAAATAAATGAGAATCAAAAGTAACCTGGTGAGGGGGCTAAAACCCAGTCAAGATTGCTCCTTAATCTGAGAATGCCCTATCAACTACGATAAGAAAAAGTAGCCACAAACCTTTAAAACAAATTTTTAAAAAGTGCTGAAATTGGGCAGAATTGGAATGCAAAGAAAGCTGCCTTACAGGAAGAAAAGAAGGATCTATCTCAGCAGAAAGGCACTAAAACCAGCAACTCAGAGAGTGGTAAGTCAGGACTTAAAATGCTAGAAATTCTAAAGGACAGAAAGAGGTCACAGCAGAGACACGAAAGCCTTCAGGGAATTTTTTCTTTCTTTCTCAAGACCCCTCTCTGTGCATTTGCCTGTACTGAAAAACTGGACAGAGGGTTGGACTAGATGACCTCCAAAGTTCCTTCCAACCCTGTGACTCTATGAAATCCACACTTCTTCTGAGGTGGACATAATATTCCATTGATCAACTAAGCCAGTAACTTAATCAAAGGAGATAAAATTAGTTTGGCACTGTTCATTTGTGTCAAACTCATGCTGGTTCCTAGTAATTGTGACATGTCTATCTGAGTGCTCACAAATATGTTGTCTGATAATCTGTTTGAAGACTTTGGCTAGCATAAATGTCAAACTAGAGAGCCAGTTTGGTGTAGTGGTTAAAGCACCAGGCTAGAAACTGGGAAACTGTGAGTTCTAGTTTTGCATTAGGCACGAAGCCAGCTGGGTGACTTTGGGCCAGACTTTGTCTCAGCCCTAGGAAGCAGGCAATGACAAACCACTTCTGAAATCTTCCAAGAAAATTGCAGGGACTAGTCCAGGCAGTCACCAGGAGTCAAAAAACTGACTTGAAGACACCAAAAAAAAAAAAAAAAAAGTCAAACTGACATATCTAATTTTCCAGGTGTTCCTCCTTCCATTTTTGAAGATGGGGATGACATTTCTTTTTCAGTCTTCTAGGACCTCAGTAGTCCTCCAGAAGTTCTCCAAGATTGTTGAGAGGAGTTCTATGATCACCTCTACTAGTTTCTTCACTTCTCTGGGATATAAATCCATCCAGCTAGATGGTTAAGTTCTCTCTTGCCTTCTCCCTGCAGTTTCCTCCTCCTCCCAATGGCACAACGATAACCAGATAGGGCTCTTAATTCCCATCTGACAGAACTCAGATGCAAAATAGGAGTTAAAAAGTTCTGCCTTCTCATCACCACCCACTCACCGTTTACTCTTTGGATTTCTTTGTTTCTAGTAACACTTTTTTGTTGTTCTTGATATCTTTCACAAGGGTCAGCTCATTCTGAGCGTCTGCCTTTTTGACAAGAGTTCCTACAGTTTATGGAGATTATTATTTCCTATATGTATCCCTTTTTCTCTTTAGCATTTTAACAAGCTCTGCATGTATCCATGCTGACTTCTTAGATTTCTCCCATTTTTCCTTCTTGTGGGAATTGAGACTTCATCTCTTCTACCTCATTTCCTAGGTTTTCCCAACCTTCCTGGATATTTTTCTCCTTTAGGATTTTAAGACACTCTATCTGACCTAGAGTACCTTCCCTTAGTCATCAAAATTCACTCTTTGAAAATTCAAGTGCAAGTCTGACTCTTCCAAATTTCTCCTCCCATAGATATCACAAATTCAAAGATAACACATTAGTTTTTTCCCAAGGTCACCTTCACTTCTTCAACCAATTCCTCTCCAGCAAATCAAACCCCTTTGTTCTTTATAACATTCTAACAAATGAAACTGTCAATGAAAGAGGACAAAAATTCCTTGGACCTCTGATGACATTCACAAACCTACTAAAGACCTGATTATTTTCCCAGGCTTTGAGGTAGGGTGAAGGCTGAGTCCCTGCTGGATGTTTTTTTTAGTTTATATGTTGTCTTTGGGCTGCTTATAATCTCTTTTTTGTCATCCTTGTTGTTGTTACTTTTTAAATGCAAGCCACCCAGAACTGTTGGGAGCAGGCAGCTTATAAATTGTATTAATTAATTTTATATCATTATTTAATACATCTTGCAAAAAAACCAAGAATGCCTACACTATGGGAGAGGTCCCTGAACTTTAGCTGTCATCAGATTCACATTTAGCAACTGTGGCAAGGAGCAAATTCACAAATTATACTTAGATGCTTCCTCAGCCAGTTCAACTTAGTAATTATTATTCTCACTTAAACGTTCTCCCTAGGAAAATGTATCCCCACTGCTACAAAAAATTATTGAATATATTTTACAGTGGCAAAGCATACCACAATGGAGGCTATACCATCAAAACAAGAGTATGACCAATCAATTTTCAGCAGGCTTATTAGAGGATATTCCACATATACACATCATACATCATACATATCTAATTGTCCTTGCTTGCCGAGCAAGCAAAAGGGAGAAGAAAGAGCTCTTAGTCCTCAAGTGGAATGGAGGTAGATCTTCACTTCAGAACATAGTACATCCATCTCTTATACCTATATTTCAGATGAAGCTCTGCCCAGTCTGTACATTATCATCTATTTAATCAAGGCTGAGTCCATCATTTTCAGTTGTTCAGCCAGTCTTCCATTTCTTATGTATATCACATTGTAGCATTTTAAGTTACAGAACGAGATACTGTTGTCTATATTCAATGTCGTTTTAACACATTCCATCTTGTTTCATTATACAAGATTTTACCAGTTCTCTGATACCCCATTACTGCTTTCTCAATTCCAGATGATGTTCAAGAACATTAAGGAGGTACCTGGCGTTGGCTAAAGCCAAGGGCAGAGCGTGATGTTGGCATAACATGTTGAATATAGATTTTGTTGGTCAGCAATGTCCAAACCACATTTAATTTTCTTTTATTAAACTTATAAGCCACTGAACTCTATCATGACTCTCTAAAAACCTCTTTTCAGCTTTTTAAAAATCCACGCTCCCATAGACGGTTTTAGGCCTAGTAGTTCCTAAAGTAATGTCTATATGTCTATCTGTATTTGTGACATGCGTATGTGTGTATGCATATATATACTACTAACTATATTTAGAAAAATGGTAAGGCTTTCACCAAGCTTTCAAATCTTTTACTGTGCTTAATGTGTTATATTTACACTTTTTGTATTTATTTTAAATGGAAGCCATCTTGAGTACTTATATAAGTAGAAATGTAATACACATGCCCGGTAAGTAAATAAATAGGATTGACTCTACAAAGTAGCCTAGTGCTGTTAAACCTGCTTTGTTGAGGATGGCTGGGAGTGATATGTAACAGTCTATAAAGTCTTTCACTGTTTTTACCAATTCTCCTGCCCTATTAGTGTGATCTTTCTTTCAAATATCAGTTGACTAGCAGCATTATATTTATTAAGCAGTGGAAAAGTTCATCTTGTATGTGTGCAAAAGAGAAAGAATCTTGAGCTTTAAGGTAAGTTGCAAGTTTTAATTTCTCTTTTCTTCTGATAGGGCTTATTTCTCTCTCTTAAGTATAAGCACTGGAGCTGAGGTTGTATGCCTTATGACTGCATAATATTTTCTCATGGAATCTAGCAATATATGTTATGAAAGGACCTCAGTTTGTTACTTGAGAACAAAGTTTCTCACTAAAAATTGAGCTCTGCATTATTAAATATTATTATTAATAACAATATAATATTAAGTATAATATTATAGCAAATTATAACAGCAAAGACACGGGCAGGGGCTGACCTCAGAATAAATTACAAACTGCTCATGTTCAAGTTTCACGTTAAGGGAAAGCAGAAGAGAATATTTCAACTGGTAAAGGTAAAGCAGAAGAATATTTCAACTGGTTCTAGTCATGTTTCTCAGGTATCTAATCTTAAAAATAAATGCTACTACAATGACAGTAATTTGAAATATTATAGTTAAACTCTAAAGCATTATTTCTATATTTAAAAGGAGAGCCAGTTTGGTGTAGTAGTTAAGGCATCAGGCTAGAAACTGGGAGACTGTGAGTTCTAATCCAGCCTCAGGCACAAAGTCAGCTGGGTATCCCTGGGCCAGTAACTCTGTCTCAGCTCTAGGAAGCAGGCAATGGCAAATCACTTCCGAAATCTTGCCAAGAAAACTGCAGGGGCTTGTCCAGGCAGTCGCCAGGAGTCAACCCTGACTCTAAGTCCCCCTCCCCAAAATAAAAAGATTCACACTTTATTCTTTTTAAAAATTATTATTTAATATCTATATTTTTAACAATACAATCTTTAATCTTACCAAAAAAAAAA